TTGACAATTTAGTCAATGCAAGTGCTTTTTGTTACGGCTACCTGACAAGAGTACTCCTCTTTTTTAGGCAGCGATAAAGAGGAATGATACAGACCAAAAAAGAAAAATCGTATCTTATCTTATCTTAATTTAACTTAATTTAACTTGATAAATGAATTAACTTAATTTAACTTGATAAATGGTATGGAATGGTATCTTATCTCAGCTTATCTCATCTTATCTTGACTTAACTTAACTTATGGTATGGTATGGTATCTTATTGTATCGTATTGTATCTTATCGTATCGTATCGTATCGTACTGTATCGTATCTTATCTTATCTTATGGGATGTGTTGAGAACTCAAGGTCAATGTTTGTCACAAGAACATGATGAGAAAACACAAAACCAACTGTGTCTGTATGTGTTTTCTTGAATGGTGAATTTGCAGTTTTAAAGGTTGTTGAACAGTTGGTCAGAAAGACCACTATGCATGCTTTACAATCAAAAAACGTAGAAAGCTGTTCATATTTATCAGACATATTCATCATTGCTGTGGAGTTGCTCCCAAAGCTTGTTATTTTTAGCTCTTAATAAGCAGAACAGGTGAGGAAACTGATCAGTGAGTGTATCTGTCTTTCGCTCCTCAGGCTGTTTGCTCCCTGTCTGCTCAATAACACTACGTGCTTTCTGCAACCCACTCTATGTACTTCAATTTTAAATTGAACACTTGGAATGAATAAATCACAAGTTCTTTATATATGCCTGCAGGCAATAATCTGGCATGCCTCCAATGGGTTGCTTAACTTGAGCTGAACAATGATGTGCATAGCTGTCAAGGACTAAGAGGGAGCAAAAACAGCTTATATGTATGATAATGACCAATTAATATTGACGCAAGATGGAGTATTAATTTTAAAAAAGTGTGGAATACGCAGTTTATTGTTAGTCTTAATTGAGATTTTCTATACGATCAAAAGAATCGAGCCACTCCTGTCAGTCTAAAGTGAGTTCTTTGTGATCTCTAATCATCTGGTGTAAAATGTTGGTTTTATATAATCGATTTGTTGTCCTTTTTTGGTGTATTTATAAAGATTAGTGAACACAGATCAATTACCCTCAACAGAGTGCTGTGATTCCCCTCTGAATATACTATAGAATAGAAAATTACCAATCCCACTCCTCGGTCTATCCGTCTCACAGCTCTAGGGATATAATCAAAAACATATCAGTTCAACAAGCTGTTTCCAAGCTTCAGTTCGCATAAAGCTAGAGGAATAAAACGAACATGATTTCATTTCAAACGCAAGAGTGTGCACATAACACCAACTCTTTTATGACTGAAAATATTTGTGTGCATGAACATTTTTAAACTGTGACCCTGCCCACCTGTAAAGTATTTTCTATGTTTGTCATAATGATATTAAGAATGCTGAATAACCTGTGGTACGTTATAAATAGATGGCCTTGAAGTTTGGAAAAGTTAGTTGCACAGGTTGTATAATGCAGCAGGCAATAATGGTCATTTTTTGTGTGTCTGTGTGTACCAGCTGAGTCAGTTTGTCATCCCCGCCACATCAGGGAATAATACAGCTGTGGAGAACATACTGTTGTGTCATGGCTACCATGATCCATCAATGACACCCATTTTCTGAGGCAGCTGGTTGACCTTCCCGGGCATGTCGGGGTGAAACAATGCAGCATGCTCCCTGGTTACCATGGGGATATGGGTAACTCTGGGTCCACTAGAGACACATATATTTAAGGCCAAGGGAAGGTTGTACTCAGACACAAACAATAATTTGTACATGATACAGGATTGTTTTTTGGGTTTTTTTTTTTTCATTTCAATACATCAACTTTGCTCATAGGAGCTCATATGGCTGGATGGCTTCAAATCAACTGAGGTGCAGCACTTAAACTTAAAGGGATATTCTGGTGTAAAATTTATTTAGGGTCAAAGACACCGTAACACAGAGTTAGACACCCCCTCGAGAGATGAATGTTGCCGACCACTTGTTCTCTAGTTATACCAACTTTAGTAATGACCGCACGATAGCAATACACAGCGGTCTCAGGAGCCATATACAAACCTCAACCAAAACGCCACTCTATAACCATAAATAATGCTCAGAACAGCACCTAACTGCATCAGCAGTACATGTAGGGTCCTAGTCACAGCACTAGCCACCAAACAGCTTTGCCAAATTTCTTTAGCAAAAAAACTAAACAAAACTCACCTACTCTCTTCCAGCAGCCGCTTGTTTGTAGCGAGACCTTGAGCCATTCAATCACCAACTGCAGCGGTGTGACACAGGTCAAGGAAGAACATTTATGATCATTTCTTCATGATTGAAATGTTCTTTCTTGAGCTGCAGGCCAAGGTCCCGTTCCAAACAAGCGGCTGCTGGAAGAGAGTAGGTGAGTTGTGTTTAGTCTCTTTGCTAAAGAAATTAGGCAAATTTAAAAAGATGTTTGGTGGCTGGTGCTGTGGCTGGGACCCTATATGTACTGTTGATGAAGTTAGGTGCTGTTCTGAGCATTGCTTGTGGCTACAGAGTGACTTTTTGGTTGAGCAGGTGGCTCTCTGTATTGCTATCGTGCGGTCCCTTTTACCAGTTTGCCTTCTATCCTTTTCCATCACAGAGACAAGCTAGCAGGTTTGAGAAACATGGCTGCTCCTAGGAGTCAGGCACCCATCAACTAATCACTACTGCTCCTGATATCAAAAAAGAGTTGATAAGGAGCGATGAGGAAAAATTAATTAAATTTGGGCCGCTTGGAAGAAATTTAGAGAAAAGTGTGCTTATACATTGTCATGCTGAGAGTTAGATAAGGATATGCAGTAAATATAGATATGAAGCAGATATATTATTCAGCACATGTTGGGTTTCTCTTATGTCTTACTTATGTTGCACTGTGTTTGGTTTAGTTACAGAAGAAAAAGAAAATACATCTTTGAGGTCAGGTGGACATAATCGGACGGGTTTGATCTATGACTCAACACTTCTGTTTGGCTTCACATGGGACATGAACTCTGGTCACCTGGGTGGAGCACAGTTAGGGTTATTTTTCCCTCTGAGGGGTTTGCAGTGGACTTAGTTTCAATCTTGATGAACACACCAGGGGGTACCTTGTGTGAGTTGCATGCGCATGAAAGCTGTGAGGAGAGACACTTCAATACATCTAATATCTATCTCCACACACTGAAAGCAGAGGGTGCTATTATAGGGGAATATCCGCATTCAAACACAGAAGGTGCATTTTGGCATCCAGTGGCTTGCTCAAAGATACTTTCTCATATGACAGTGGGAGCTGGGATTGAATCTCCCCATTGAAAGATGACCAACCGTACAACTGCCAACCTTAAAACAGGAGTAAGAGTGAAGTATTCTTAGCCAGCAGATAGGAGGGCGACCTAAAATTGATTCTTTATCTTTTACATAAAACATTAAAGCAACTTTCTCATGTTTTCATCTGAGAAATTAAGCCATTAAAAATAATCATAAAATGATCAGATACATAATTCACTTGAAGAATATGAGGACATTCAAACCACACAGCAATGAATCTCTCTGTGGTCTAAATTGACTAACATCCCATCAAGACACATGGCTCCTTTGGTGCAAACAGATTTCCTGATAGTCAATATTTTCTTTTAAAGCGATGTGCAATTTCTACCTGCTCTAACACAGTTGAATCAAGGTAGCAGCATGCTGGTTTTAAAATAGTGTAAGTTTAATGAACACCTGTCCAATTCAAATGAGTTTTAGTGGTATTATCTCGTAAAAATTCTCTGAGAGTAAAAAGTTAGACGGCCAGGCATTAAGGCAGAGTAATAAAGTTTTTGTTTCTGGTATACGACACTTTATGTCATGCTCTAGCAAACCGATCGGTTTCTGATTTGACCTCATGCGTGAATAAAAATGTCGCTTGAGGGAAAAACTTGAATACAAACATGCACACACTCAGACACACAGGTATTTGTCCACACAAACAAATCTGTGTGAGGGGCCACCTGGGACATAAATCTGTGCTGTTTCCAGGAACTCAGATGTGTGAAACGGTTGACCTGTCACTGACCCCGTGGGCCCCGTCAAGCACAACCTGCAGATTAGTGATACGCTTTCTCTTTTGATCTTTGTCAATCTCCTCTCAATTTCCTGCAGAGTCACACTCACTGCAGCCTGGCTGAAGTTTAACTGCAGACAGAGTAACTTGTCTTGAATTTCAGTAATCACAAACCCTGTCAAAGTCAAATTTTGTAGGTGTATTACTTTGCTGTGCATTCCTGCATTCACAAAACCTGTTTTATTCTACAAAACCCAATTCCATTGAAGTTGGGAAATTGTGATAAAAGTAAATAATTTTTTTTTTTTTGCAAATAATAATTAACTCAGAATTTCATGGCTGCAACACGTGCCAAAGTAGTTGGGACAGGGGCATGTTTACCACTGTGTTACATCACCTTTCCTTTTAACAACACTCAATAAACTGAACTGAGGAGAGTAATTGTTGAAGCTTTGGAGGTGGAATTCTTTCCCATTCTTGCTTGATGTACAGCTTCAGTTGTTCAACAGTCCGGGGTCTCCGTTGTCATATTTTACGCTTCATAATGCGCCACACATTTTCAATGGGAGACGGGTCTGGACTGCAGGCAGGCAAGTGGAGTACCTGCACTCTCTTACTACGAAGCCACACTGTTGTAACGTGCAGAATGTGGCTTGGCATTGTCTTGCTGAAATAATCAGGGGCGTCCATGAAAAAGATGTTGCTTGGATGGCAGCATATGTTGCTCCAAAACCTGTATGTACCTTTCAGCGTTAATGTTGCCTTCACAGATGTGTAAGTTACCCTTGCCTTGGGCACTAATGCACCCCCATACCATCACAGATGCTGGCTTTTGAACTTTGCGTCGATAACAGTCTGGATGGTTCTTTTCCTCTTTGGCCAGGAGGACACAACGTCCACTATTTCCAAAAACTATCCGAAATGTGCATCAGTCCGTCTTAGATGCACTCAGGCCCAGAGAAGCCGGCGGCGTTTTTGGATGTTGTTGATAAATGGCTTTCACTTTGCACAGTAGAGTTTTAACCTGCACTTACAGATGTAGCGACGAACTGTATTTACTGACAGTGTTTTTCTGAAGTGTTCCTGAGCCCATGTGGTGATATCCTTTACACATTGATGTCGGTTTTTGATACAGTGCTGCCTGAGGGTTCAAAGGTCACGGGCATTCAATGTTGGTTACCGGCCGTGCCGCTTACGTGCAGTGATTTCTCCAGATTCTCTGAACCTTTTGATGATATTATGGACCGTAGATGTTGAAATCCCTATGAGTTTGAACATTAAATATCTTGTCTTTGTAGTGTATTCAATTGAATATAGGTTGAAAAGGATTTGCAAATCATTGTATTCAGTTTTTATTTACATATATCACAATTTCCCAACTTCAATGGAATTGGGTTTTGTAGCATCAAGAGTAGCTGAAGATAATGCAAACGTCAGAATTGTTTACCTTTGATATCATGACATAAGTAACCACTCTGTCCTTTACTCATTCTTATAAGCACACTCATGAATATGCGTTGCCACTTATGACATTTAAATCCAATTTGTGGACATACAGTTCAAATACAAGACGAATATATAGCGCAGGGTCATGAGGAAATTAGAATTCCTCAGTCGCTTCACTCGAAAGAGGGATTCACTTGGATATTTCAGGCATAATGAGAGTAATATTTTCACATTCTCAAAAGGAGAACCATTTTTCATTGAGTAACTCCAATCAGCTTTAATGGGTCATTTTCCCATGCACAAAACTGAAGCAGGGGAGACAATCTCTTCTTTGTCATGCATGGTGCAGGATTGGAGTGCATGTGTGAAAAGGGTCATGAGGGGTTTCAGTGACGTAAATCGTAGCTGTTGTGATGAGTATTATGTACCTTTCATACGCATACCTAATGTTCTTGGTACGAGTTCATCTAATTATCAGTTTCATATTTAGTTTTACAGACAAAAGCGGGAAAAAAAAGAAAAAAAAATTGTTCATCTATCTTTGCAGAACAGAACGTGCCATTAGGACAGTAAGACTTTTACATTATTATTTGCTTCTCACAAATGAAGCCATGTAAGATTTCCCCCCTCGAGACAATATTTCAATCAGCGAGGGAGAAAAGGTAATCGAAGTGGCACTGATCCTCTTAATACTTACCACAGTGATTTTCTTTCTTTTCTTTAAGCCATATTGAAGACCATAGTTCTGGATGGATTAGTAGGTCCTTTACAGCTTCCAGGCTACACTAAAATTGGTGAAAAGGATAATGGATCTGGGGTGGAACAGCAACTGCAGCATGATGAAGGTCTGAGTCTGAGCAGCTCCAGCCTTAAGCTCCACCAGAGGTAACATAGCCCACAGGCTTACACATTATAACATTCATGATTATGGTACCCCTCTGACGCTTAATCTCGTAACACAGACATAATTTAAATTATGACTAACATACTAATATAGGCGCTAGTACCACTTTAATTTTACATGGCTTTGGGGATGTGATGCTAAACAAGAGCACAACTGTGATGAAAAGTTCGCAAAGGTTACTTTAAGCAATGTAGGAGTTACTGAATATTTGCACTACTGTGATTATGGAAGCCATGCTGATAGTTAGTATAACAGAGCAGCACATACTGATTAAATAAACAATGCTGACAGCAGGAATTGATTGCAAGTGTTTGTGTATTTCATAATTTGACCAACACTCCTACAGCTTGATTGAAACTGGGCGGTTGCCAAGCAACACAAATCATTTTATTGTATATCTGTTGCTTCCAACATCACAATTTATACTTAGTAGTAAATATTTGTTTTTCACTGGTTGATCAAACTGTTGCCAGGGATACGATTCTAGTCAGACAATAGGACTAAATGCAATCAAATCAACTATCAGCTACAAGGAGTCTGGTTGATTTAAAGTCTGTTTATTTACTGTGATGAAACCAAAGAAAGAGACAAAAACAAAGGGGGAAAAAAGAACAGAAAAGGACAAGGGAATAAGGTGGTGTTAAAGGACAGATCAATGAGAAAGAAAATGCCACAGACTCAGACAACTCACCTTTAGAGGAAATATTAAGTGTCCTGTGAGGAGTTTTTGACATCTAAGAAATAGACTGACATTTCCAATGTTGGTTTTTTGTGATATTCAAAAGGCAAACAAGATCATCAGGGACATTTTCAACGCCTGGAACGGGTGGGCAGGGGAAGGTGTCAGCCAAGTAACTGAAGAAGCAGCCCAGTGTTTGCAATATCCACTCAAAGTTTGCCAAAAACAAGACAACATAAGAAATATTCACCGTATTCAGAACACCTTAAGTATGAGTAAAGTCTCTGTGCTGTTTTGGGTTATATCAGTTAAAAGTGGTCATGTTTTTTTTCCCATCATGTGGTTCAGTTTTGAAGAAGCTTAGTGACCGGGGTGCATGATCTCCCATAAGTTCTGTTTGAATTTTCCCCCTTCTCACTGCATCAACTACACACTTATTTGGGGCCGTACCTGACTTTTTTAAAATCACAAACATTCGGCAAGTTTTTGAATAATCCTTGCTTGATCTAGCTCAACTTTAATCTCAGCTCAGTCAATCTCAAAACTTCCTTTTCTTTCAAAGACCCTGGTTACACTTGTCTATGATCAACTCTTGGGAGTTGCTAGAGGGCACAATATCTTTGATAAGTTAAATGGTTTTCAATCTTACCTCAGCAGTAGATATTATGAGACATTACCTCCGCTTCATCAACCATGTTTCCTTCTCTCCTCCCTGCTGTTTGGAGTTCTCCAGGGTTTAATCCTGGGACCAGTCTTTTTCTTTATTTACATACATCCTCTTGGCCAGTTCGGTCATTTCCCTGGCATCTCATATCAATGTTATGCTGATGATGCGCAGGTTTATTTTCCTGCAAAACCCAGTAACTTCAATCAACTGTCATCTCTCCATAACTGGGTAACATCTGCTGAAAAATTCAGGTATGACCATTAACCTTTATACCACCCAACTTGTCCAGCCCTGTTCCCTTCAGCAAATCAATGCTCTCTTTCATCGATCTTGACATATTAAAACATACTTTCACTCTTAGATTGTTTTAATTCACCGAACACCCGCCCGAGTCGAGAATTACTTCACCACTGTCGGTCCCACTTCCTCCCTGTTCTTGCATCCCTCCTGTGGCTCTTAGTTAAGTTTATAATTAATTTCAAGATCCTGTCAGTCCCTTCCAAAACACTGCATGGTGTAACCGCAGGGCACATCTTTGACCTTTTCCTTTCATAAATCACTCCTCATTTATGACATTTATCAAACCCCGACCTTCTTCCCATCTCTCACTCCAGCTGTTAAACAAAAGGTGATCAAGTTTTTGCTGTCTACACCCCCTCTAACATGTAATATGCTTAAAGAAACTTCACAAAACTCAAAAAGAGACAACCATACAACCAAAGCGACCATCTGGGATTTTTAACTGGCAATAAAACTGCATAAAAAACAATGATGCTTCGGTCTGACTTAGACAAACCAATCAAACCATCAGTTGGAAGATGACTTTATCTACAAAGATATTTTGTAAGCCTCACATCGGTTACTGATAAAGCAATCTGTAGCGTACAGGATAAAGGAGTCTTTGGTTCCCCTTCCTTTCATGTGCATGAAGGACAGTAGATGTTGTCAGTTAAAAGGAAGCAGGAGCAAAGTGCATCACATAATATGTCGATGTAAAGGATGAGATCTTCAAAGAGTTGAGGCATATTGCCTCGTCTGTAGGGACTACAAAAATCAACAACAAAGAAGAAATGTTATAGCCTTTATGGCCCTATTTTATCTATTATTCAACAGAGCATGCTGCACATGAATTTGACTTGAACTGCCAGTGGCCAGTTCTTCTTTAGATATTCAAAGACGGTCTTTATCATTACAACATGGTGGGAAATTCCTCTGACCTCTGACTAGATTAACAGCTTGGCTTTTACATTGATTTTTTATGCCTTGTGGTATTTGTCTAGGGGTGATCTGATCTATAATTCTCTTTTCAAATGGCAAAACCTATCTCGGGAGGACTTATATGTATATATATTCCAGGTACCTGACTATTGCTATCTCAGCCAGACATGATGATGCCTATCAGACTGTAGAAGATGCATGAAGTGTCATGTCTGATTCAGAGGCGGTTAAAAAGCTAAAGACTGAGACAGAGAGTGCATGCAGAGGGTCTGTTACAGCAGCTCAGGAGCTAAGAGCTGGAGGATGCACTCGTAAAGAACTGTATATCTCATGATAGAGAAGTGAGGGAGATAGGGCATCTTTATTATTCACCAATCCCTGCAGAGAAAATTAGCTCTTACTGCTTTTTGACTGCAGGGCATCCATTAATTCTTCAATTGGCTCTTTCTTGGTATTCTAACTTCATGTAGCTGTTTACCTCTATAAATTATGATCAATTTGAAGTAGCCTGTATCTAAAGGTACTAAAAATAAATACAACAATAAAAGACTTGAAGATTTATTTTAGCATATTTGAGCAATATCACAAGTTTCTTGAATTGAACTGTATTCAGAAGTAATGCACAAAAGATACTCAAAGCTGAAGAGTAAGAAGGTTTTATTGCACAAAATGAGGATTTATTTTAACACTTCAAGATAGCATCTGAACACTGCCACTCTGACCTAGCTTTAGCACGTTACTTAATATAGTTGGCCGATCTCACTGAAAAAAACAAAAACATTTTTTTTACATTTTGTTTAAATTGAACAGAAAGACTCTTACTGGTATTTCTAGTGATATTTTTGTCTGGTTAGTTAACTAGTATGCCCTTTTTACTAGTACAAGTGAAAGTGTCTGTGAGGAACTTTTAGTTTGTGTCAATTTTGGCGCCCCCTGTGGACAAAGCAGTCTTTGCCCATCTTGTCCCGTACAAAAAAGAATCTCATCCTGTCAACTTTTCACTGTCTAATGTATCTTCTATCGTGGACATATGGGAATTTTAAGAATTGGGCAGCTCCTTTGCTGCTTGCCTCACACCTACCCCCTCACACATCAGTTTGTGGCATCAAAAGCTGCAATTCAAAGATAGTCAGTGTTGTTGCCAATGGTCTTGTTCGCTTTTCACTGTCATAGAAAGGCATCAGTATAAGTTTCAACCCATTCAGAGATAGCAACAACTCTTCACAGGAGCTTTAACGTGTGTGGATTGAAATTGTAGCTGGTTATCAAGAATCAAGACACCTCAACTTGTGTTAGTAGTAGGCGTCCGAATCTCATTAGTTAA